ACCAGGACAGGAAACAATCAGTGAAGGCTGAAGCACCTGACAGGAGCTCTGGTCATCGGAGAAGGTGTAGGGGTCGTCATCCACTTTTCCTGAACCGTAGCACATACTGATTCTGTGCAATCCACCTAGAGATCGCAGAAACCAATCAACAGATTATTAAACAGAAGAAAACTTGAATACAAACTTTCATCAAACCCTCAGCAGGGTGTGATGAAGATGCCTCTGTGTGCAACATGTAGCTCTGTTTTCATTAAATGCCTCTCGAGAGCCGAACATTTCAAACTTCACCACATTCTGGTGTATTAAGTAAGTTTAACTACCCCGTGTTTCTCTGAAACTCCCTTACTGAACCACTGGTCAGAGCCCCGGTGCTCGACTCACTCGTGTATTGTTGCTCGCCGTTGACCTGGCCGTTCCCTGACATTGCAGAGGGCTCTTGCTGCCCACCCTCCGTGAATGCAGAGCTTTCAGTAGCGAGTTCGCCATCAGTCAGATCGTCCAAGGACCCCTCGGGAGCTCCTCCGGGTGAAAGCTGCTCCGAGGAGCTGTCCAGCCCGTCTCTGTCCGGAGACAGAGGCCGGCAGTGGTCTGGGATGTTCTCCTCAGACTCTGCGGTGAGGGTGGCAGGAAACGGGCTGTGGTACAGCGGGTTCTGTTCAAGCACCGGACGGTCAAGGCCCGGGAAGCAGATAACGGCCAGGTACCAGTGCGCTCTGAGGAAACAGAAACAGAGCTTCCGTCATTCAGCATTTCAATGGCTTCACAGGACTAAAGCTTTCCATGAAAATCAGCCGAGTAGAGATCCAGACACTCACGACTCATTGATAGGAACGAAAATAAAATCCTTCTGGAATAGATCCACATGTCGAGTCCACGTCTTTACCCTGTTGTGCTTCCTTTTCTGGATTCTGGGAAACCAAAATAAGTCAGGTTTAGGAGTCAAACTGTCAGACAATTATCTTTAAAAACATCAGGTGCAGGCAGAGGCGACACTCACGGCAGGTTTGTTGTGTCAGGGGCGTTCCTGCGCTCTCTCTGGTTCAGCCGTTTGTAGAAGAAAGAGCTGAACACATGGATTCTTTGTGCATCTTCTTTTTTTAACTTCTCTAAAACTAAATATCTAAACAGGACAGGAAGAAAATGTCACCGAAAATGATCTCAGCCTCAAAAAAACAAAACAAAAAAACAAACAAAAAAACCCCCAGAATGATCTTGAGTATAGACGACATGAAAACTTACTTTAAATAAAAGTCTATGATAACATCGTTAAGGAATTCCCCATCATTAAGGCAGTGCAGGTCTTCATTAGTGACGGTTATTCCACCTTTGGCTGGAGGAGGAGGGTACACCATTAACCTGCAACACAGAGATGAGGGTAACAGCAGCGCCATCGACAAGGCAAACAGTTAAACGACCCCTGATACTGAAAAGTAAACGTGATGCTGTGATTTAAACTGCAGGATTATTTTTGAATTGAACAGGTCAACAAGCCCTGCAGGGGGCAGCAGAGTTGCTCACTTGATGATTGGTCCGGAGAAGGTGGGCTGCAGGTCGGTCATGTCGTCTTCATCATCTTCAAAGAAGGCGCTGGTCTGCTGTCGGGTGGCCATCCGCGTGCGCACAGGCATGCTGACGGATGCTACAGGGGAGACCTGTGAAGCCTTGGTTACTGGGGAGGAGGTGGAGGTGAGTTTGGGTGGGGTGTGTACCGGCTTCACCTGCAGAGAGCAAAGAAGAGAAGAAAGAAAAAAGAAATGAAAGGTAGCGCAATTTAAAAAAAAAAAAAAAGAAAAAGAAAAAAAATCTGGCTTTTAATCTTAAACTGTTTGACCAGCTGCAGTCACAGTGGTATAACACAATACCACATAAATATGACCATATAGATAAATTGATTATGGCGTGTTTTTATATATAAAAACACGCCATAATCAATTTATTTTTCAGCCCTTGAGGTGGATGGTGGATATGAGTCATCAGGCGTCAGAGGGCGTCCAGTTTACTGCATAAATGTAATACTGGTACATATAAATGTTAACCTCAAACATTACATAAGCCCAGTTTTGACTTTATTTTGAGATCTGCAGGTTTCCCACCTTCTCCTCCCTCTGCTTTGTCGCCTTGTTGTAGTTGACGAGTCGGATGTTGGCCTCCTCGAAGGGCAGCTTGGCAGGGAAGGGGATGAGTTTGTTGGTCCTGCCGATCTCGCCCAGGATGTCCTCCAGGATCATCTGCTCCTTCATCGGCAGGCCGTTCTCGAAGATGAGGACGATGTACTTCTCGTCCGACTCTGGCGGCGAGAAGGGGTAGCGGTCTGACTTGAGTTTACTTTGACTCCGCGTGAAGACACGTCAATGCCACGCCGCCAAGGAAACATTTGTGTACTCACCGTCTCCTGTGCAGTCGTACCACTGGCCTCCCTTCTCCTTGGACATGTTGAGCTGAGTGCGCAGGCGCTGGCACTCCTGTGGGGTCGTCTGGAAGAACAAGACGGGAAGCTTCCGCACGTTGCACCACTCGCAGCTGATCAGCTCCGACGCCTGAAGGCACACCTTCTCTACAGTGCCGCGCTCTGAGCCTGAAGGTGGACAAATGGACACATTTCAGGAAAACAAACAAAAAAAACGAACAGGGACGCCACGAGGGTGCGTTTGCGTAAACAACAACTTTATTTTCATGTTTGCTGAAGCTCAGAGTTTCTGTCCTCCACATGTTTTCAGTGGGTTTATAAAAGAGAGATCACAGGTTCATTTAAGTGTTATTAATTATTAGGAAATGTACACCAAACACCTGCCACTGACACCCTGCGGGCTTCCTCCACCCTGATGTCATGTGATTTATTTAATCATTTATCTGATCAGTGGCAGTGTGCTGCTGTCTGCTGCAGTTTCAGTGTTTTTTTCCCCCCAGTAACGGCTCTGCTTCAGAGAAATGCAGCTGTGCAGTTTCCTCTTTGTGCTCGTCAGCAGAGATCAATGTTCAGCATCCATCATCATCATCATCCTCCTCCTCTCTGTGAGTTATTTAATGCCATCATTAGTGTGGCTTCATACCTTCGGTCTCCAGCTGGATGTGCTCGATGGAAAACTGAGGAGACAAAAGAACAAGACAAATTTATTCTCACCGGACTCAGGATTCGATCAGTTTTTAAATTTGAGGCTTAAATCTCAGGTTTTAAAACATTTTAATTTTTACATTGTACATCATTACGGTAGAGGCTAAGCCTACGCTTGAAGCCACTGAGGTGTCCGATGGCAGGGGTGACGTGATGCCACCGTTATGAATTAAACTTGTCACAGTCCAATAACTCCAGCCGTACTTATCACATCTGTTTAACATCTTTATTGCATTCCATGGGTTGTTTTAGTTATTCAAACTTTCTCTTTATCCAACATCATTTATCATAAAAATCACAACAGTGCAGCGGTCACAAACTGTTTGTTTCTTCTGACCAATAACACCTGACACCAATTACCTGTGTCTACCTTAAATGCAGTTCCATAAACACGCCATTCAGTCAGGAGAACAACTGAGATAATCCATCCACAATAAGAGTCTCGTCATCAATATACTGCTGCATGGGCTGGGCTGTAGTTACATCATAAGGTTTTAAAACTGAGCTTTAAAACGTGCTGCTGATGAATAGTGGTAATAAAAACAGAGGCCGACAGTGATCACTGAAGCTGTAAGCTGACAGACTTCCAAACATCTCAAAAATTTGACTAAATCAGCGTTAGAAGAAAAGTGTTTCATTTTCATTTTGTTTCAAAGGTCTGACATTCAATAATACAAATAAAAACCAGCATTAAAGCGCAGGCTTAGAGAATGTCAGCAGGAGCAAAGAGCTGGTTTAGGATCAGATATTAATGCTCATAGGAACAACTAAACTGTTTGTAGCCAATTGGAAAAGATCAAATAGTAAAGCTGCATCTCGGAGTTCTACTTCTTATTGATCGTGAGGGAAATGCAAAGACATCAGACGCTTCACGCCCTCCTGCTCTCTACACACAGATCCGAGGGATCTTCCGGGAATGGTGATGCTATTTTCTGGAGAATTGATTGGTCATTAAGAAAGTGAATACATGGGCCTTAAATGGAAAGCACTCTGGTTGATATGACCTTTGAAAAGGCACTCTGACGTTTTCTCCAGTGAATCATCAGAAAACACACAAAGCATCTTAATTACCGAAGCTCGTTTGTGTTCCTCTACGTCACAGACAGGTTTAGACTGTGACTCTAAGTGGGTGAAAATTGATTTGGATGCAGTTTGTAAAGCTTAAATGTGTTTTTTCCAGCCCTGAAAATGTAATGGTTCCAGCTTCTGTACTCAGAGGGCTCAAAACATGAGAAAAATGATTAAGAAGCACCAAATCCGAGACCCACCCTGGGTGAATCTTAACTCTGAAAATCTTCAAATCCTGCACGGTTTCATCAATCAAACCAAAGGTGGTGTGCTGACACAAATCAGCTGATCCTGATCCCGAGATTGAAAACTGCATTTCTATAAAAACTGGAGAGACTCACGACGACGGGCTTCGTCACCATCCTGCGTAGAGATCCCACTCTTACGCTCCGACACTCCAGGATGATGCTGTCGCACAGGCTGGACTCGAATTTGGGTTTCTTCGTCCTCGGTGAGAACTGCTCGGGAGGTTGATTCCCAAACTGTGGAGGAAAAGAAGGAAAAGCATCAGTTATCTGCGGTGAAGCTACAGGAGGAATCGGACGAGCCCCAAAAACATCCCACCACGTCTCACCTGATCTTTCATCCGCGCTCGCCGAGGTATCGTGAGCTTCGTGCTCACCATTTCTTCAAAGAAGTCCAGGTTCACCTCCTCCTGCTCTGCGACGCTCTTCACCGCCGCTTCCACCCTGCCTCCGGAGGGCGCCGGAGAGGAGTGAGCAGAGTCGGCGGGTCGAGGGGAAACACTGTCCAATCTGTTGACGCTTCCCGTGCTGGCGTTGTCGGCCTCTTCCTCCTCCTCATCACTGGACAGGACGACTGAGGGGAACATCAAACCCTATTAAACGTCTCTCCGCTGGCTCATTTTCAGCTTTGTGCCTGAAGTGAACGGAAACCTTTCAACCACACGACATTACTCATATGTGCAAGAAGCAAACCACACAAATCTGGACCTGCATGAGGAGTGATGTAGATTTTCAGGTTTTGTGTCTTTTTAAACACGGCAGAACTAGAAGTACATCGTTTTTCTAACTTTTTAAAAATGCATTTCCACTGGTGGAATAATTACTGTACATTCTTGCTATAAGCCTTTAAAATGTCGCTCGTTCTCTCAGCGTCTCCGGTTGATACGAAGCCTCCGATGTTTGAGCTCGTGCAGCTCTAGCAGCTCCAGAGCAGCTAAACACGAGGACAAACAAAATGACTACGAAGCACCAAATCTGATCCCTCGATGAACTTTAACTCTGAGAATCTTCAAATCCTGCACGGTTTCATTAAACAAACCGAAGGTGGTGTGCAGACATGAATCGGCTAATCCCGATCGGTCACCAGGTGAAAACTGCATTTCTGTAAAAACTGGAGACACTCTCGATGGCGGGCTTCAAGCACGAGGACAAACAGCTACTGAAAATAAGTCTGAGAGCTTTCAATCACCGAGCTTCTATCAAACTAAAAATATGAGAGACGTGGGATCAACTTCAGGACAGGCATTTAAAGTAAAAGCCCAGAACATTTCATTCAATCAATCAAAAGGACGCCTTATCCCAGTATGATAAACTATGCAAAACCCAAAAGTAAACAGGAAGCAAGTCGACAAATTAATCGGTTTTTTCATCCTGAGCCCCCCAAAAATGTGGAACTTCTAGGGGAAATCTTTTAAAGCTTCTATCTCGGAGAGAAAAAAAGGAAAGGTACTGGATATAAAAATATATACAGTGGGGCAAAAAAGTATTTAGTCAGCCACCGATTGTGCAAGTTCCCCCACTTAAAATGATGACAGAGGTCAGTAATTTGCACCAGAGGTACAC